CTGTGCAAGGCTTGAGGTAGATCGTAAATAATTGATCGAACCCTGGCTGTAAACGCTTACATTGGACAGCTAAGCCTCGGTACAAATACTCCATGAAGTGTTTGGCGTTAGGCGTGTATCTGATCCTAGCTTAACAAAGCCTCTCCCGGGGCGTCCCCGCGGGACGCTCTCCGTAGGAGAGGCTTATGAGTCAAGGCAAAAATTTGGCTGGGACAGGAAAGCCTAATACCACATAATAACTTTTCTAAAAAAACCACTTACTTGACAGAAATTATGAATAGACATTTTTTTCAATCATCTCAATGAGCATTTGGGACTCTAAGTTTGATTTCCTAGTGGATCTTGGTCAATTGTTGTTTTGGGTTTTTGAGGAAAAATCATTTTTCAAAAAAATGTAGAAGGGGAACCAGGGCAAATGAAGGGATGAGACCACCTTCAAATGAAAGCTGGGACCCAAAAGTACAATCTGGCTCTGAGCCAGGCTTGTAGAGGATTAGGATAAGGAGCCAGGGCCTTAACAAATTTCACTCCAGCCATTTTTATTTCCTGTGCCAGCCCAAATTTTGACTTTGTACGCAAGTCCCTCCCTGCGGGAGGGCGCGCTTCGCGCGCAGAAAAACCGACTGCAGGCAAGGGACTTTTGATAAGTTAGTATCTGATCAAAATAAAATGATTGAAAAAAATCATTCCTTGATCGACCTGTGGACCTACACCCCTTACACTGTAGAAGTGCAGTCAGAAACGGGTGTGAATGCACTGCTACAGTGCAAAATCCGTGAATCCCGCTTCCAATCCCGATCCCGCAATCCCGCAATCCCGCAATCCTCCCCCCCCTCATACAATATCTCAACTCACACCGATCGAAGTTCAACTCCAAATAAAACAAACATCCCTCCCTTCTCAATCACCTCAATAGGCCTTAGGTGTTAGGGATAGGGTTAGGGTTAGGGATTAGGGATAGGGATAGGGTTAGGGGTTAGGGATAGGGATAGGGATAGGGATAGGGGTTGGGGATAGGGGGTTAGCACTGGGATCGTTGACAAGTCTCCCGTGTACTGAAGAGAGAGCTTGGAGGATTGCGGGATTGCGGGATCGGGATTGGAAGTGGGATTGGATCCCAAACCACAGTTTTTGCACTATAGAAGTGTGCTTGAATACATTCCTTGCTACACTTCTAAAGTGTAACAGAGGCGGGTTCAAAGGTCCCTTGATCTACGAGCTTTTGTTTAGCCTCATTGGCTGTCGGGCCAAAGTGTATTTGATCAATGGTCTTGCCAGTCAAAACTTCAAGGAAATCTTTGAGTCAAACCGGATGTCCATAGGGAATCAAATTATTGCTGACCCTGGGTGAGATTGAATCTTCTTGGTTGGATTCTGCTTCCTGGGACACAATTTCATCCTCCCTCTCTAGCGTCTTCTTCACAGTCTGATGTATTGCACGGACCAATACGATCTTAGCAGCCAGTTCTCCGGTGTCTCCAATAGTAGTAAGCCCTTGTTGCACTGCAAGAGTCAAGGCATCGATACAGGTAACCCAATGGGAGTCATCTGATGCTAGAAATTGGTGAGCCGCGGACAAGTAGAGAAGGTGTGATGGGTAATTGCTAACAATCTTGTCTCGAATGGGGCTGATGTACATGCAGTGTGCCACATGAGTTGAAAGGGTCTTGGCGTTGATATCCCAAGCTGTATACAACTGTGGCTGTATTGTCAAACCAAGCAGTGCAAAGATTTGTGATTGAGACAGACCAGAGGAGGGCTCATGGTAAAGAAGTTTTGCACGTGCAATCATCATGATCTGACTGATGGCGGTCACCGGTGATAGCTTGGTTTCTGCTTTCTGATAGTATAGACCATAGAATGGTGTACCGTAGCTTAGGATGCGATTCGGTGATATGAGTTCATCCCAGGTCTTAGGCTCCCAGGCCAACACATCAAATGTGGGAATTTGATAGATTGGTGGGAATAGATTTCACCCCAGCTTGTGTAGCCTTGCACTAGGATCATCTCGGAGGGGTGGACAGAAATTGGCGACTTTTGAGGTGGTGTCGGTGAGCAAAGCAAAGAATCCCTTTGACGGAGGTATCTGAGATAAAACCCGGCACAACTCGCAAAAAATGTGACACCTTGTCAGGTTTGCTTTCCGTGTCAAGCAAGCTCCTGGCCTTGTCGATCAGCAGTAGAAACTTGAGTCGGCGATCTTGGACTGTACTCAGGTTTGAGATCCATTCCACAGCTCGCTTGAGAAATATAATTTTGTTTCCATCGAGTTTTTCTATTTTTTTACAAACCTTGGAAGCAAATCTTCCATCATCTGTTTTCCCATCCTTTGGAAAGCTGTAATCAAGCCAGGCAGCCATTCAACTCGCCTGATCAAGTTTGGCAACCTTGCCACTCAAAAAAAATCAGTGGTTGCCTCCAGAATGGCAATGAGGTGTTTGGCATAAGGGAGCTGCAAGTTCTTCGGACGGGGCTCGGGGAGTATGTTGTCGGCAAGCTTTGACCGGGAGGGGAGGCCGGAGGAGCCCTTGGGACGGAGACAGATATATACAGCAGGTATTTTTTTGCCCAGCTCCATGAGAAGACGTGTTTTTCCTGACATGGTAGGAACAATGATAGATGCAAAAGGAGCTTTGAGCTTATCAGGAGACCAATTCTTTGAGGATTGTCGCAAGGTTTCCATGACTGGGTCTAGAATAGTATTGGGCTTCTTGTACTCTGATTGGAAGCCTTCTTGAGCAAATCTGGTGCGCCATTGGTATTCAAGGAGTTCTTGTGAATCCTCTTGGCTGCCAAGAGGGATGGGGCGCTGAAGCGCATGGAGCATTTCATTGTGTGAGATGGTAGAATGTTCCGTTGGGTACCGCAGACGGTACGCAAGCTGGAACAGTTGGTTATATATAGTTGGGTCGCTGTTTTGAAATTAGGATACATGTTGCAGATTCCCATTGATCAGGAGACACCATATAAGTCCAGCATGTACGCCTATTTCTTGGACCAGAGGCTCACACACGCGTTCCAGTTTGTCTAGAAACTTTTCGAGTTTTCGCACTTTGTTCCAAGAAGGATTTGCCAAAAGTGAGCCATTGTGGGGAACATCAGCAAACAACTGAATAGACAGATTCACATAGATCCGCTGTGAGCAACAAATGTAAAGAATAAGCTATCTGCCTTGTCTTTCAAAAGTGCTGTGTTTAGTCTTGCAAAGTGGGCCTCAACGGCAGCAGTGCGCCTGGAGGAATTGCATTTGGAAGCAGTGGTTTCGGAGGCAGTGCTATGGGTGTCCTCCCGGTTGGAGTTCGTTTTAGTATCCTGCTTGGTAAACAGAAGTCAACAACTGAATGTTCCATTTTTCTGAGCAAAGGCCAAAGGGAGACATGAGCAACATTCATGAGAGACTGGTGTCTGAGAAGAGGTGGTGACAAAGAGAAGTGCACCTT